TTTAGGTCTTCCTGACTGCAAGTCTAATGTTTTACCCATTATAGTATACCAAGCTACCACCCCTCACCAGAGATGGACTCTGAGGTCCTTTTTCCTCTAAATCTATAACCCTAGACTGTTGCTATTGTCCGTGCCCCACAGGGCAGTATTCTCTGGGCCACTTGGAGGGGGGTTCTCAAGGAGGGCTAAACTAAGAATCTTGTCTGCAGTCAGAATTGCATTGGGCTCCATCCTCCCAATCTTGCACTTATCTCTGCATCCCCTCTCTCCCTGTGACCCCAACAAAGAGGAAGAAGCAGAGGAAGGAGGCTGTAGGTTGGCTGCCCCTCTGGCAGATTGTACCCTGTGTGTTGAATATGGCCGAGAAGGTAAGTTGAGTCCAAGTGGACCCCTGCAGACTGGCTCAGCTTCAGTGGTTTCTGGGGAATTTTAGTGGGCTCCCTTTGTGTGTCTACACACACACACACACACACACATACACACATACACACACACACACACACACACACACACTTAGCTTTGACTGTTCTCACATTGGAGGTGCAGTTGTCAAAAGTATTATAACATTATTGTCCCCACCCCATCCCCAGCTCTGGTGTCCATAGCGGACAGACACATGCCCTCATTTGCCTCACAGAGCCTCCTGCCTGGGTTCCAGATCATGCCTCTTTTTGTTGCACTGCCTGCCAGACTCCCTTTAGCCTCACTCGCCGAAGGCACCACTGCCGGAACTGTGGAAAGGTAGGTGGCTTGGATGGTGGAGGGTAGGGACAGGTAGAGGAGAAAGGATGCAGAGAGGTGCATGCCGGTGAGGGAGAGGGACAGGTGATTCCTGGGCCCACTTTTCAGGCCTTTGGACACTCAAGAACTTGAGTGAACCTTAAAACTCTCCTGGTCCAAGCCCTTCATTTTACCCAGCAAGCCCACAGAGGGGTTAGTTGTATCTCTCCCTGAACCATAGCCAGCTGGGAACAAAGCTATATTCTGAGATGCTAGGGTGATCCTTGGTAGTGCTGGGGGTGGAGGCAATGAGTGCAGGCCTTCTTTCAGCTCCTGATGCTGACCTTTCTGGAGGCACGGTTTGAGGGCAGAGCTGAGGAGACCATGAGCTCTTCCTCCTGTCCCTTCCAGATCTTCTGCTCACGATGTTCATCCAAATCTGTGCGTTTGCCTTGGTTTGGCTACATGAAGCCTGTGCGGGTGTGTGCCCACTGCTATGCTGCCCACGTTGTTCCAGGCTGCTCCTGACATCTCTGCCTCAGGCACTAGCCTTTGGGGCCAGCTGATGGAACTTCTGCCTGTGTCCAGGCTCTGTGCTGGGGACTTGGGAGGCCTAAAGGCCTTTGGGACAGTCATCCAGGGTGCTGGATCTGCCCCAGGGAGGAGAGATTACACCTGAATCTACAGGGGAGAACTTCCCTGCCCTCCTCCTGGGGTGAGGTTCTTTTGTCCCTGGACTGTGGATCTGGGACACGCTTTCCTCTCCAACCCCAAAAATTCTCAGGGGTGCTGCTGTCATTGCTCCTAATACAAGCTGTGTGCACACTAGAAGTGATCAAGAAGGGGCAGAGGCTAGGGTGTGCCCTTTCACTCCCCTTTCCTTCCTTCCTCTTGGGTTCTCTTGGGACCTCTTAGAATAGATTTGTACCTACCTTGTAGCCCTTCTCATCTCTCTCACTGCCTTTTAGAGGCCTATGGTCTGGGCCTGGCCTCAGGGGGGACCCTGGTGAGTATGGATAGGTGTTTCTATAACTATGTATGTATTCCTGGTGGGGTGGGCTGGGGAAGGGGAGCAGTTAGGAGCCTCTTCCCACTTTCTGAGGGCCCTCTCTTTGTGGCCAGTGTGGGCTTGTGAATACCTGATCTATCCATCTGTTCCTGCCTTCCTGGTGGGGTGAGGGGCAAGGGAATTATGGTTCCCATTGTTCACAGATGTATTTTTGTTTAATTAAAGACAGATTCTTCAAAGTGGTCTTTGACTCTCTCTTGTGGCCAAGCAGGCAGTGGAGGAGAAACAGATGAAAGAGAGTGAAGATGGGGTTTGCTTAGGGACTTTTACTCTTCTCAGTTCTAACGCTTGCAGCTGCAGTCACTAGCCCATAGCAGATTAGCAACAGCAAGGACAGGGTATGGGGTGGGGGTGGGGGAGCAGGGGCAATAGAATACTGAGGGTGGGATGATAGCTGAGGGCCTGATAAAACCAGGCAGACAATAATCCCTGATTTTTGTTCTCCACCTGGTAATGGGGGCAGCTAGATGGGGAAGTGGATAGAGTGCCTGGAGTCAGGAATACTTATCTTCCTGAGTTCAAATCTGGCCTCAGACATTTACTAGCTGTGTGACCTGGGCAAGTCACTTAGCCCTGTTTGCTATGGTTTACAAAAGCATTCTATGCAACTGTTTGTATAAATGTCAATAAAAGTTATACATTATTGTTGTCATATTGATCCAATTAAATTTTCTTACAACATAGCAAGGAAAAAAAAGGCAGGGCAGTTAGGTGGTGCAGTAGGTAGAGCACTGGCCCTGGAGTCAGGAGGACCTGAGTTCAAATCCAGACTCAGACACTTACTAGCTATGTGACCCTGGGCAAGTCACTTAACCCCAGTTGCCTAAAAATAAAAAATAAAAAAGATATCCATTTCTCCATCTAGCTCCCCTTCATTACCAGGTACAGAACAAAATAGCAAACCATTCCAGTATTTTTGCCAAGAAAGCCCCAAATGGGGTCATAAAAAAAATTAGACATTACTGAAATGACTGAACACCACCACCACCCAGTAATGATGACAGTAGAGAGATTTTCACGTTATATCCTTCATTGATGCCTCATTTTAGAGTAGGAGGCAGCTAGATCGTGTAGTGAATAGAGATCAGGGCTTGGAGTCAGGAAAGACCTGAGTTCAAATTATGCCTCAGACATTTAGTGTGAACCTGGGCAAGTCACTCATCTGCTCTGGGCCTCCGTTTCTTTATCTATAAAATCAGAGGGTTGGCCCCCACAGCCTCCAAGGTCACCTTCTGGCTCTAAATCTTTGATCCTTGAGCCTTCTTTCAGACTAGCATGTCCTTAATAATAAAAAAAGCTTTGTTGATGCCTTATGTTCTTACAGCATAGTTATTTCTAGATATACTGTTCTCTGCCCCCTCCCACACTAGAGGCTTCCCTTGTAATAAAGAAAAACAGTTAAAACCAGCAGACCCAGCAACCTAGTCTTCCATCATGTGCAACATTCCACACCCCCAACTTCCTCACCTTTCCAATAAAAGGAAGGAGGAACGTTTCCTTATCTCTTGTCCAGGGGCAAAATTAGTCATAATAATTACACAACACTAGGCTCTACTTGATTCTTTTATTATAGTCTCAGTGTACATTGCTTTTCTGGTTCTGCTTGCTTCTCTCTGCTTCAGTTCATGCAGATTTTCCCCGGGTTTCTCTAGATTAGTCACATCTGCCATATGTGATGGTACAATAACATTCCATTCCATTCACGTGCCAAGGATTGCTCAACTGTTCGTCTGATTGGTGGATACCCATTTTCTGACCTTTGATTTTTTTAAAAAGTGTTTTAGTTTGCCTTTTGTTGTTTGCATTAGTCATTTCTAGGTACATCATTCTTCTACCTTCCAGGCCTTCCTTCACAACAACAAAAAAAAACCAGTTCAGCAAATTGGATGACCCAGTGACCAGGTCTATGAAGTAGCATCCCCTGCTTTCCTGTCATCCAGGTTCACAACAGTGTTGTCATACTTGACTTCTCCCTCTCACCCACATCTAATCAGTTAGCTTCTAATTCTTACTGTTTTTACCTTCACAGCATCTCTGAATCCCTTTCTCTTCCACTCCCACAGTTCAAGGCCCTCATAACCTCTTTCCTGGACTATTGCCCTGAACTCCTAATCAGTTTCCTTGTCTCAAGCCTCTCTTCAATCCAGTTTGTTCTCAGAAATGTGATATTCCTAAAACATGGGCTGACCACATTACTCCTCAGTTCAAGAAACTCCATTGGCTCCCTATTATCTCCACGATCAAATACACACTCCTTTGTTTAGGATTTAAAACCCATCACAATCTGGCTCCAACCTGCCTTTTTGGGAATAAAACACATTACTCCCCTTCACTAGTTCTGGGAAGCGGGGACCAAACTAATTTTCTGGCTGTTGTGTGGCCCAGGATATTTCATCTTCCATCTCTGATGCTCAGAATTCCTCATTTCCTTCAAAGCTCAAACACCACCTCCTTCACGAGGCCTTTCCTGATCTTTCCTTTCCCCTCAGATTACCTTGTATTTTTTTTTATATCTATGTCCATCTGTACCTGTCTTTCCCCAGTAGCACATAAACTCCTCGAGTGCAGAGACCGTTTCACGTTTGTCCTTGTTTCTCCAGGACCTAGTACAGTGCCGAGCATATAGTAGATGCTTAACAAATGCGTGCTGCTGGCAAAGCTAAAATCCCCACCCATCCTTTGCAACTGAACTCCCCACCCCGGTCGGGTTTTTTGCGTGGTGAGCAGATTACGCCACTATAGTCAGTGGCAACAGCCCAGGGTTAGCTTTGGCCCTGGCAGTCCCTTACAGACGGTGGACAGTGGCTTTCCTGGGGCCGGTACGTTCTCCTGGGCATCGCAAGGGTAAGCCTGGCGGGCACCTCCACCCTGCAGGTTGTGCCAGCGCAGCTGAAGCTTGGGGCAGCGCGGCTGGAGGGTTAAAGCGAGCACCTGACACCTGCGCAGTGCGGCCTCGGGGCGGGGCGTCCAGGCTTCTGGCTCCGCCCCCTTTTCAAATTTGAAACCTGCTCTTTCCCGCCCGAATTTGTTTGCTAAGGAGGCGGGACGGAGAAGCTCCGAGTCAGCTAATGGGAGTACGGCAGGCCGAGAGCCCCGCCCATAGGGTGACGATAGAGTGACGCAAGTCCCTCTGTGCCAATGAGAGGGCTGAAAAGTGCGGGCCAAGCTCTGGTAGTGCCCACGTGTAGAGTCCTGTTTGTCTGTACCCTGACAGCTGGAGGAGGAGGCTGTCAGCGGTCGGGCTGCCGAGGGCAGAGTCCAGCTGGGATTCCCAGATCTCACTCATGGCCCCTGAGTTTCTCGGATGGTACGTGTTCTCTGAAAGATTCCCACCGGAAGCGCTCTAGCTTCCATGGGATGGGGAAGTCCATGGCAGGTGCAATGCCCGAGGTATGAGGAGAAACTGTTGATCTTGGAGGCTGAGCTACAGGACCGGTCCACCCGTAAGCAAGAAATGTCCACTAACTGCGTGTGTGGCTCTGAGCAAATCGGTTCCCTTCGAGTGCCTGTTTGGTGGTGGACTAGATGACCTCTCGTCTATCTGCAATGGCTTATGAATTTGCGTGTGGTATATGTCTGAAGAAGACCGCAGAGAGAAGAAAGTACAGCGTTCCTCTTCCTAGAAATCAGAAAATCAGAACTGGAAGAAATCCGAAAGACTGAGGTAACTAAGGTCCAAAGAAGTAGCAGAACGTATCCAGTGCTGACGCTGTAACTGGAACCCAGGTCTCCCGACTGCACCATTCAGAGCTCGTCACTATATCGCAATTTGACTGGGCCTTCTTTTTCTCCTTGGGGCTTCTACCTTTGGTCGATGATCTGAATCACCGACTTAGAAGCGCCTGGGATCAATGGACGTAATGAGAGTGGAGAGGCCGAGGTCACTTTCGAAGGGCTTTGCACGAGTCTGGTGCACAGCACTGGTTAATTAACCTAACTCCACACTCTGCCTTCCTCTGGTTTGGCTACCATCAATTCTCTTCCTTTTCCCTGTGAGAACTTGGATTAGTTATTTCCCTTCCCTTCTTCCCTCCCTTACCCTCCCACCACCCCACCCCCGCTGTTCCACTCCCTGCCCCCGAGCTTCAGATTTCTGTAAAATGCGACTAGGTAGTTTGTTCCCTTTCAGTTCTGAATCTGAGTTCTTGAAGCAGCCATGAGCTGGGAACCTACGACCAAGACACGGAGTGACTAGACGCTTCACCTGGCGGGATCGTTGGGACCTTAGTTCGAAACTCAACTCGCTAGGGTCAGTCTGGACTTTGCCGGAGGGTCTCCCAGCTGCGGGTGGAAGAGGAGGTGGCGCAAGGGCAAGTCCCAGCTCCCGGGCGAGTTCCAAGGGGGCGGGGCGAGGAGCGCTGGACGTTCGAAGGGGGCGGAGTCCGGCTGTCTGTGTTTGTTGCGCCGTGTCAGTTACATTGTAACAAAAGTGCCGCCGCCACCACAGCCACAGACCCGCACCTCAGGCCCCAGGTTCGGCTCCCCGCCCGCCCGCAGGCAGCTGTGGTCGCGATGGAGCAGGGTGCCAGTAGCATCCAGGTTTTACTGCAAGCAGCTGAGTACCTGGATCGGAGGGAACGAGGTAAGAAACTTGGTCCCCCGGTTAACCCCAATCCCTGGGCCTCCGTAGGTGCCCTATTCCCCTCGAATCGGACCCGGGCAGCTGTAGACTGGAGAGCCCAGGGGTAGGAGGCAGTTCCCCAGCAGGAATCCTCCTTTGCAAGCTAAACTTATTTTGCTTTCATCTTTTAGCTTCATCAAGTGGCCAGTCCGCCTGGTTCCAGCGGGGTCAGAACTAGGGCGGGGACAGCGTCTTTTTGCTCCTTCCCCTTTCAATCCATCCCAGTCTGCTCCGCTAGCCTCTTTTCCGACTCCCTGCCAGCGCTTCATTTCCCTCGCGATCGCAATTTAACCCCCCGCTCAGCTTGGGAAGAAGGAGGGAAAGAGGACCTGGCGCCAAAAGCCTTCCCCCCTTTTCTCCATACTCTGCAGCGCGCCCCCCACTCGGGGGGCTGGGGCTCATGGGCAATCCAAAGATGTCCGATAATCTGTCTTGTGATTCGGGGCAAATCATTTAGACTCTTTCGGCCCCAGTTTCTCCATTTGTAAAATAAGGTTATCTTGAGGTGTCTTCTAGCTCTAACAGTCTCTGAACACAATCTTTCCCTCAGAGGCGGAGCACGGCTATGCTTCCTTGTGTCCTACTCACAACTTGGGCCCAGTAAACCGCGGAAGAAGGAGACCCAAGGCCCCTAGAGACAGTTTAAGGTGAAGGTTGGGTTTTGGGAGGGGAGGCAGGAGGTGGAGTTGGCCCATCCCGGCCTCAGTCTACTCAGCTGTGAAGTGGGTGTCTGGTTCTGACTCTAGGGGGCGCCCACAGGTGACCTAGTTTCAGACTCAGTCCCTGATAGGGGGTGGGTTGTGCCTAGGGTGCTGGAGTCTTTAGGGGCTGAGGAGAGAGAAAATTCTGTGAACAACTGAAGGCAAGTCACTTAACCTCCTTGGGCCTCAGTTTCCTCATTTGTAAAATGAGGATTGGAATAACATCTAAAGATTATCCTTTTTTTTTAATCTCTTGGATAATCCCTTTTCATTGGGGGGAGGAAACAGGGTCATGAGTAGCTGCTCACCTGCCTCACCTTCACCCCCTCACTTGCCTTTCAGATCGGTGCACAGCGAACTGGAGAAACACAGGTGATTGCGGAGGGCATGGCTCCTTGTTTTGCCTCATTTGCTCCCCAAAAAGTGTTTTTTTTCTTTTCCCAAAATTTCTCTAGGGTCTTGGAGGCCAGGAGACTTGGGTTGGGATCTGGGAGTGGGGAGGACCACCGGTGGGGTAGGACTGCATCATAAGATCATAGATTTAGGGCTGGAAGGAATGGAAAAGGAATCTAGTCCAGTCTCTTCACTTTCCACATGAAGACTGGAACTCCCTTTCCCCACGATTAAGAGGCAGGGCAGGTATCACAGAGTGAGTCTTGTACTTAGAGCCATTTGAATCTAGGCTCTGACATCTCCTACCCACATGAACTTAGGCAACTGGTTCTGAACCTCAATTTCTTCAACTGGGGACAACTGTTTATTTGAGCCACCTAATTCACAAAATGGTTTTGAAGAAAATGCTTTGGAAAGGGCTACACAAAAGTGATGTCATATGTAAAAATGATAGGGTTGGACTTACCTAACCTCCAGGATCCCTCTCTGGTTGGGGTTCTAGCATTAGAGGGAGTTAGGAGAGGAATCTTGGTCCTACATATCATCACCATCACCATCATCATCATCATCATCTAGGCTGGGGGAAACCTTGAACCAGAGGAGTCAGTCTTCAGGCTGGGAGGCTGCTGGCTAGGAAGTGGTCCTGGGCTTCCTGGTGGACTCAGCTTGAGCCTGGCAATTTGCTGCTGTTCCCCATACCCTTCCATTGTAGGGGAAGCCCTCAAACCCACAGATCCCCTCCCTGAAGGACCTGCTCACTTTCTTCCATCTCACAGGAGGGCCCAACTGAGGCGCTGTTTGGAGCAGCTGAAACAACAGATGCCCCTAAGCACAGACTGTGCCCGATACACCACCCTGAGCCTGCTGCGTCGGGCTCGTCTCCACATCCAGGTGAGGTGGGAAGGCACAGGGTCTGACTGGACTCTGCCCTGTTCCCCAGGGACTGGGGGAACCTAGTGTTGTTGGGGTAGCCTGAATCACATGTTCTCAGAGGATAGGGGCTTTAACCATTGGAGAATGGAGTTCTTCTGGTATTACATTTGCCATCATAATGCAATAGGATGTTTTGCCAGGACAGGACTAAATGACTATTCAGTATAACTTTTTCATGATGCAGAGGAGGACAGGGAGGTCCAGAGACAGTAGGACCTCAGTTAAGGAGTGTCATTGCTGGGGTGAATCATTGTTGCTAGGGGGCTGTTGCCCTTCTCCTGGCTTCAGAACCTTTTCCTCCTTTGTAATTATCCTCCTTCCTGGTGTTAGAATTGTGCACTGAAGGCTCACTGTGGGTCCAACCCCGTGTTATATAGACAGAACAGGAAGAAACCAGGGTCGTGCCCTGGAGCAGCTTCTCCACAGAGGACCAATGTCTACATAGAGTCAATGAACTTGGGACAAATGGAGGCCATGGAGCTGACATCTCCAGATGGAGAGCTGAGCAGGAAGTTTCATCCAATATGAATTTAGTCGGGATGAATGTACAGTCCTTCACTGGGTTCCAAAATTATCCTGAATGAGTACAAGCTAAGTAAGATTTATCTAGACAAGAATTAACATGTGGGAAAAAAACAAACAAACTTGAGGTGTTAGTGGACTCAGCTTAATATGAATTAGCAACATCATGGGACAGCAAACAAACAAAAAAAAAAAACCCCAAACCATCTTAGGGCCACTTAGACATTCAACATACCCTTTAGTGAGGGAGGCGATGGCTTCCCTGTCCACTAGAACAGACTGCACTTGAAATATTGTTTCTAATTTGGGGCACCACATTTTAGGAGGGACACTCACAAGTAAAATTCATTAAGAGGAAGGTGGACCAGGACTGAAGGGCAGTTAGGTGGTACAGTGGATAAAGTGCTGGGCCTGGAGTCAGGAAGACTAATCTTCATGAGTTCAAATCCAGCCTCAGACACTAGCTGTGTGACCCTGAGCAAGTCACTTAACCTTGTTTGCTTCAGTTTCCTCATCTGTAAAAATGAGCTGAAGAAGGAAATGGCAAACCACTCCAGTATCTTTGCCAAGAAAACCCCAAATGGAGTCATGAAGAGTCAGACACAACTGAAAAATGACTAAACACACCCATATAGACCATGACTAAAAGAGGACTTAAACTCTGTCAAAGGACTGTCGGTTGAAGGGATTGGGAATGTTTAGACTGAAGAAGACTTAAGGGGGTGGTGGTGTTTTGCTCACTTTCTTTAAATGTCCAAAGGGAGGACATGAGGAAGTCATTAGACTGTGCTGGTCAGCTCCTGATCTCTGGCCCCAGTGGGCAGAAGCTGCAGAGAAGCAGCTAATGATTATTGCTGTCCAACAATGGAATAGCCTTGGGAAGTTATAGGGGTCTTTGTCAGTGGAAGTCTTCAAGGGGAGTGTGGATGAACACTGGCAGGGGTGGTGTAGAAGGGATTCCTGATTTCAAGAGTACATTTAGGGGATGTACTAAGTGAGTGCTGAGATTCTGTGATAGGAAGAGCTTGGATTGGGGGAGAGGAGGGAGGGCTTTCTAGTTGGGCCCAAGGCAAAAAAGCTGGGGATTCTATAAAGCAGATAAAGGGGAATGTGCATCAAGTCATGAAGCAGAGAGGGAAGGGGAGGATGGGGAACAGTCTGTTCCTGAGAACAGCAAATGGGCTGTTCTCAGCCTACAAAGGGGATGAAGACTATCTGCCAGGGCTTAGTACAGTGCCTGGCACAAAGGATCATAGACTTGGATCTGGAAGGAGCCTCACATTCCATCTTGTCTAAGTTCTTCATTTGACAGAGGAGGAAACTGAGGCTCAGAGAGGTTAAGAGACTTGACCATGGTCACGAAACTAGTAAGTGTCACAATCATGATTTGAATCCAGGTCTTCTGACTCTAAATGCAGCACATTAACCATCTTTTCCCCTACACCTCAGATAGTGGGTGCCCTCGTATAGTAAGTGCTTCATAAATACTTATTTCATTCCATGGGAGCTATATTAATTTCCCTTTGTTCCTGTCATTTTTTGCCTTCTCCAACTCCTTGTTCCAGTAGATTTGTGAGATGGGGGATGACTATCTCTTCTCCCTTAGCTCCTTCCTATCAGCCTAAAACATACTTGGGTCTTCGCAACCCTAAAATTGCCTTCCCTTGCCCTGAAACATCATTTATGCCTGATGCTTTCAATTCTTTGCCACTTATTCATTCACTTTTCAGCCTGTTCAAATGTGGCTTTCATGCTTGCCATCCCCATTGATACTCCACTCTTATAAGTCACCAATGCTCTCCTAATCAACTAATTCAGTGGTATTTTATTGGTCTTTTTTCATTTTTCCGCTTGTGCAGCATTTGACATGATAGCCTACCCTGTCTTTATGGCTGCCTTTTCCTACCTTGGCTTTAGAGATCGAATATTCTCCTTGTTCTCCCTGACTGTTTCCTGCCTCTACTTTGTTCCTTGCTGTGAAAGAAACCGAAGTAAGAAAAACCCTAATCTTGCCACCTGTAATAATCATGGCTAATGGCACTTGGTTTGCAAAGCATTTTTTATGGATATCATCTAATTGCAGCTTTTTATACATTTTATGAAGACTGTATTACAAGGCATTATTGTCCCAATTTTAGAGACGAAAAAACAGGCTCATAAAGGTGAATAGACAATCATGACCACACACCTTTTTTTTAATCTTTTGATCTTTTATTTAGGCATCTTAGTGTCCATCAAGGCATGCCAAAGTGTAAGATGAGAGGTAGTATGACAGTGTTTGAACAACAGCCAGGATAACCTGGGTTCAAACTCCCTACCCTTTAAAATACACACACACACACACACATAATTTATTTTTAGTTTTCAACATTCACTTCTATAATATTTTGAGTTCTAAATTTTCTCCCTTTCCCCAAGACAGCGCATGCAATCCAATATAGGCTCTTTTGTACAATCATATTAAATATGTTTCCACATTAGTCATGACCATGCACCTTTTAAGAATCAGAGTGGGGATTTGAATCCTAACTCCAATTTCTATGTGGCCTCCTTTTACCTATGTGACCTTAGTTACTTAAGAGATTACTTAAGCAACTTCTCTGGTACTGTTTCCTCATCTGTCATGAGAAAGGGTTGATGATTTCGAAAGTTCCCATCTCATTTTAAATCTTGTGGCCCTCTTCCTGTCCCCCTTAGGGTGGGTATTTTCCAAAGTTTTAGTCTCGATTCTTCTATTCTCCCTTGGAAATCTTGTTATCTCTTTGCAGATGGATCCCAAATCTGTCTCTAGCCCCAACCTTTTTTTTTTTTGAGTTCTAGATCTCCTGGATATTCCCTGTGTGTCTCAGACTCAGCATATCCAAGACTGAACTACAGACCTTTCCTGAAAACAAACCCACAGGAAATTTCTCCTTCTGAGTTCACTGTTTCTGTCAGTGCACTATTTACCCTGGGTCCCATGCTGGAAAGCCTGGCGTCATCCTTGACTCTTCCTTCTCGCTCACTTTATATGTCTAATTAGTTTCCGAGTGCTGCTGAGTCCAACTCTGAAATGCCACTCAGCCCTTCTTCCGTGTGTTCACTGCTGCAGCCTTGGTCTAACCCCCTGCTTGGGTTACTGCAAAAGCCTTCTGGATCTGTTTAGATCTCTTTGGATCTACTCTCTCCCTCTTCCAAGTCATCCCTCACATTGCTGCTGAATTAATCAAATCCTGCGATGGGAACTTTGGACTCCTGTGCCTGCTGGCATTGAAGGACCTTGCTAATCATCTCCATACCACTTCCATAACTCCGTGCTCTAGCCTAATTGGGTTACTTGAAATTCCCTACACACAAGCTACCCTTATAGCCTTTGCCTTTACTTATGTTGCTCCCTGTGCCAAGGAAATGTTATTCTTTCAGCCTATCTGGTCTATTGAGTTCTCATCCATCCCTTTCAGGAAACCTGAAGGCAGCATCATACAGTGGAAAGAGATCAGCATTCAGGGTTGGAGGACCTGAATTTGAGTCCTGGTTCTGCCACTTCTTACTTGTGTGGTTGTGCACAAGTCTCAACTTTTCCGGGCCTCAGTTTCCTCCTCTGAAAAAGGAGGAGTTTGGACTAGATGACCTTTAAGCTCCCTTCTGCCCCTAAATCAATGACTCTATAATCCAATGTGGGCCAGAACACTAGATTAGCTTGTCTCAAGGGGCTAATACCTTGAAGAATAAGGAAGAACTGGGTGGGAGAAGTTGGGGTCATAGGGGATTGTGAGCCACAAACAAAGCAAGTAACAGACTTTCTGTGAGTCCTCTCCTTCTTGTAGATCATTTCCTCTTCCACCTTTCTCAGTCTTACATACAAACCATTCCATTTTGACATCTGCCTCACTTTAGTCCTGCGTTCTTTCCAGTACTTTCTTACAATAATTTTCTCTTTACATGTTTAAAAAATATTTTTTATGTTTAAGCATTCTTTTCTTTTTAAATTTTGAGCTCCAGATTCTCTTTCTCCTTCCCATCCATCCCCTACCCACTAAGAAGGTAAACAAATGATATCAGTTATACATGTTTTCATATTAGCCATATCGCAAAACAAAGCAAAAGATAAAGAAAGCAAAAAAAATTGTATTTCAACTTGAACTCAAGAGTTCATCAGTTCTCTCTCTGGAGGTGGACAGCATTTTTTCGTCATGAGTCCTTTGGAATCGTCTTGGATCATTGTACTGATCAGAGTAGCCAAGTCTTTCACAGCTGATCATTACAACAGTGTTAGTGCTGTGCACAGTGATCTCCCTCTTCTCACTTCTCTTTATGTTAGTTCATATAGGTCTTCCCAGGTTTTCCTGAAACCATCTCCTTCATCATTTCCCACAGCACAAGAGTATTCCATCACAATCATGTACTACAACTTGTTTAGCAATTCCCCAATTGATGAGGTTCCCCTTAATTTTTAA